CCCGTTATAGAAATCAAGGTTGAGGCATTTCATTTAAGAATAATAGTATTTTCTGGCAGAATGAAAGTACACATTTCTGCTGATAACCTCAATTGCAGTGTTGGAGTGCACAAAGTCAGATAACACATTTTGTAATTAACAGCTTTTGGTAACATTCATTTATGCCAGCTATTTACCTTTGCATTTTAAGCTGTCCAGATGTGCTTGCCAAGGAAACAAAATATGCACATTCATTTTACTAAGTGAAGTTTGTAATATATGTGCCTTTCAGTCTTTCATTATCAGAGCTTTAGACAAGATCAACTGAAAATAGAAATAGGACATCATTGTACTATATGTAAGAGGGGAAATCACTAGAAAAAGCAGAAGTTGGTAGAAAAAGCAAATCTGGTAAAAGCTTTTGGTAGGATATATATGGTTAAATTGTTGATTAGAAATAAAATCTTTACTCTTACTACAGTGGTTTAGGAAAGTGATCTGAAAAGGAAGTAAGTAGTCAAGATTATCCTATGAGAGTATGTTTCTAAATTTACAGCTGGGCAGAACACATACAGTTCTCATGGATTCCAGACCCCACATCAAAAATATAACTTTCCAACAATATGTTGGCACAGCAGACTCATCCACCTAACTGAATATGTTTATGACCTATTAATGTATCACCACATACCTAACAGCCATCAGGAATGGTCAGATTTAAAACTTGAAAGTCGATATCAACATGGTATTTACTTATTGTTTGTGGCGTTCCCTTTCCAGACATAATGTGTCACTTTGTTATGTTTTTTAAAAAAGGTGCACAGAGTACAGCCTTACTCTGAAGTGTCTGATGAATGGCAGAATTATCATCTTCATCAGACTTTAGTTATGAAGCATCTAAAATTATGATGCACTATACCATAATTTTAAAAAGGCTGCTCCTTAGTGGCAGAGATTTTTGAAATATATATAGTAAATTACCTGTTTCCCCCATAAACATCTTAGCCCTAATGTACTTCAAATGTAATTTGTAGGATGAGATTAAAACATTTGACTTTTCAGATCGGAATTTCCTATATGGGGAGATGCTATGGTAAGGGGAAGAACCATTTTACTCGAATAGTAGCATAGCCTATGTTACTTTGCATGCTAGTAATGCTTGCCCAATTCATTAAAAAAATAAGCCCATAGACATCTTATGTTTCTACTGTTTTCTTTCTTTCTTTCTTTCTTTTTTAAGCCTGCTCTGAACTTCCCACCACTTGGGGAAGGTGGAGCAGGAAAAAAATCACTAGCCATATCTCTTTCACTTCCTTGACAGGGTAATTGGTTTGATGGATAAGGGGAATGCAGCGTATATAATGTGACTTTGGCAAGGCCTTTGACAATTCCAGATGGCATTCTCAAAAGTAATTGAAGAACTGTAGGTTGGCAGATGCTATGCAAGGTAACGTATTCCAGAGGGGTAGTCAAGTTAGTCTGCTGCAGTAAAAAACAACCAGCAGTTTTGTGGCACCTTAAAAACTAACAAACTTATTGTGGCACGAGCTGCTGTGGACTACAGCTTGCTTCTCAAGAAGCTTACTTGACTGATAGATATTCTGGTACCATGTATTCTTGGAAGAAAACACATATGTTTGTATGTTTTCTACCTGGGTCTAAATTAACACTGGGGAAGCCAAGTGTAATCTGTCTTTAACACCTCTCAGCTCTCATTGCTTTTTTTGTTTTAAAAAAGTGACAGTACTCATCTATAAGGCTGCACTGATTTCTACCAATTCCCCCTTCAGGACTTGGGAGAGTCCCCCTGCCAGTACTCAGTAGTGGTGTATACCACCACAAAAAAAGCCCTCTCTGTTCTACAGGAGTTACAGGTTTGGGTTCTAATATCCAGTTAATGTACACACTTCTAAGAGACCTCTAAGACAAACCTCCAAAGCATGTGCTGAAGGAAAACAGAATCAGGAATTTAGAAGAATAATGAGAGACAGCGAGTGAAATATCAAACGTACTAATGCAGTCAGACTTTCAAGCATGCACGTAGTGCCAAATACCAAAATGCCCACAGGAAATGCTAGATACTTCTACATAAGTAGATCCTTGTGCACATACAGTTCAAGAGAATGAGTTGTAACAGAAAAGGAAGGAGGGAAAGTGGGAAATTATATTACATATCATTGTATGATTCTGTGTGGACGAGCTGCCTGGGATATTTTCCAAGCACCTAGGCAGCTAGTGCTAGGCTGCTTCAGGCCTTATACAAGTAGGGTTGCCAGGTCTTACCCGTCTGCTCACTCACTCACACACACACACACACGCACAGATGCCTTGTGGTCAGCAGGAAGGCCTCAGGCAGCTAGTTCTACACTCTACCCACTGAGCTGTGCTTCTGTCCAGGCTTTCTGTCATCTCTGCTCTAGGGTTCCTGGGGGTGACCATAGCGTCCTTAGCAATCAGCTGGTCTCCTTCATGGGTTCCTCAGAAATCCCAGGTTCTGGTAGTGGCTCCTGCTCCTAAACTCCTGAGTTTCTGGTCTGGTAGCCACCGCAGGCCACAAGTTCCCTGACACCTCCTGGGTGTCAGAGGGCCCTGGCACATGAAGGTCTGTCTTGGTTTTGTTTTCCATGGGATCTATGACCATGGTGTCTTCATCCCCTTTGACAGGCCATTGTTGCTGATGAGCAAGGAAAGTGAGGTTGTAGGAAAGTAAGGTAAAATACTGCATTCAGCACATAATCATTAATTGATATCATACGTGCTTTAAAAGTTTGTTAACTACTTACAGTATTTTAGTCTGTGCAGGGTGGGGAGTCCAATAAAACTATAAGACAAAGTTTTTCCTTTTCTTATGGACTGATATGATTCTACTGCATAAAATATCCACATCCTAATAAATATGTAAAGTTTAGACCAGATTCAATGCAGAACATTTTAATTTTTTGAACAAGTCTTTGCTCTACCTATTGGCCTGAAAGGAAGACTTTCAGTAGTACTGGTAGTACTGGTAAATAGACATTTTGCTATATTTAAATAAATAAACTGCCATGAATGGAAAGATACATGTAATACAATTCATACCTGGTATACAGTTCATATATGGTAATAAACAAGTATCTTGGTTTATTTCTGAGATACGTGCTTTGAACACTCAGCAATCTCCCTTATAAATAAAAGCCAAATGGTGGTGGCACTTCTCTAGAACATTCTACACTCTCCAAAATCAATTCGCTTTCTGATCTGTCATTCAAAGGGTCTCCCTATCCACTGGCTGCTTTGCCTGAGTCTCGCCTCCAACATTCTAAACATTTTGCTGTTCGTCTCCCCACCATAGCCAGTCAGAACACAGAGGTTATTTGCATAAGCAGCCTCATTGGCCTTTGCCTCGGAACACAGAGGTCGTTTGCATATGCGACTTGATTGGCTTTTGCCTCTAACACTCTACACAGTTTTGCTGTTCTGAGGCAAAATGTGTCGAATCTCCAGGTGAGGGCTGGAGATCACTCAGAATTACAACTGCTTTACAGATGGCAGAGATCAGTTCCTCTGGAGAAAATGGTGGGCTCTGTATCCTTATATGCTGCTGAGGTGGCCCCCATATGACAGCCAATGTGACGTAGCAGTGAGGGCTTCAGAGCAAGGGAGAGGCTGCAGGTGTGGGGGTGGAAAGCTGAAGAGTGAGGGGGAAATAAAGATAGATTGATGATTGGCTAGGAAGAAGATAGGGTTGCCAACTCCAGGTGGGAAATTCCTGGAGATGTGAGGGATGGCGCCTGGAGAGGGTGAGGTTTCAGGAGGCATGGGACCTCGGACAGGTACAAAACCATAGACTCCACCCTCCAAACCAACTATTCCCTTCTGGGGAACCATCATTGCTAATCTCCAGGTGAGGGCTGGATATCACTCAAAATTACAACTGTTCTTTAAGTAGCAGAGATCAGTTCCTCTGGAGAAAATGGTGGACTCAGTGTCATTATACCCTGCTGAGGTCACCACAGCAAATTGACACTGAGTGTCCAAGGCCGGGGCACCCGCCCAGAGCCTCGTTCTAGAGGCCGTTGTATTTATTTCCACAAAGTGCAAAGTGCTTACTGCAGTTATAAACATCTTTTCACAATGAATATATTATAGGTTTAGTTGCTATTGAGAACCATTCACAAAATGGTATCTGTTTTGATGTAGTGTAGTTTAAGGTAAAATATTTTATCTAGCTGAAAGTTAAGAAGGTTAAGAAAAGATTGATGTTTATTTAACAACTTTTTAGTTATATTTTATCCAATGTACCCCCAGAACACCCATACTGTCCACTGTGTTCCCTGAGGTCCCATTGTCCTTATTCCACTGGAGAAAGTTGGTGTATATTCCTTTATAGACATGACCTTTCTCCAGTGGAATAAATCAAACAGTCTATGTGTGCAAGATATCAATGTGTGTCTGGATCTCTTGATCAAGATATTTGTGTCTTCACTTACTTTGTATGAATCTAGGGTGCTCTTTCACATCTTCTAGACTGGTTTATATATAAAACATGTAGAAACAGATGTCACTTGTTGCAACACTTGACCAACTTCCAGAATGGAGCATATCCGTTATTGTTAACTGTGACAGTTTTGTTGTAAAACGAAATGTAATAAACTAGCTTTTGGCATGGAAATAATGAAACATAAAAGGTATACAGATACGTATAGAACGTTTTCAAGAGTGGATCCAATTTTGATCGCAAAATGTGTGTTTTATTACACTTTTATTCTACTTTTCAGCCAGAAAACTTGGCTCCCAAATTTCAGTATAAAAAGTTAATCAGGAAAATGAATTCTCAGCTAGAGCTGGAAACAGGAGGCTGATGTCGTTCTCACTAATGATGCCTCAGAGATATGCAGTACCATCTCTGTTTAACAGTTCCTTAGGAAATCACCATGTGATCTGTTGGTCATGTTCTTTAGATGTCAACCAAAGTTAACTCTTTAGAGAAAGTTAAATATGTTGCATTGTCTTTAACCCATAGTTGTCCTTTTTCTTTTCAGCACCATCCTTGATAGGTATGGTCAGGAAGGACTGGGCTTCCCAAAACAGCATTGCTCTCTCATGGCAAGAACCTGATTTTCCTAATGGAGCCATTCTGGACTACGAGATCAAGTACTATGAGAAAGTAGGTCTTGAATAAAATGAAATCAGGCCCCTCAAAAGTGTGTCTACGTTTCCCCCCCATTTTTATAGATGACTGTAAAGTGTAGCATTTTATTTTATTTTGCTTATCCAACATAGAAAAAATAGCTTTTTAATGTGTAGCATACATTTATGTGACTGTTCTGCCTACTATTGGCAATTATATCTTCAGCCTGGATTTTGTGCCATATTGAAGTAATAATATGAAGATTCTGCCAAAGATTCATACTGTGATTCACTACACTATTTCAAACTTTCATAATGCAGGCAATGATCTGATCAGATGTGATCAGAATGTATGGTGGAACTTCACATGACTGCTTCGGCCTGTCAGTTGTCACCTAGGTTGAAAAGTGGCTTCTAAGAGTCAAAATAAAAAGAAAGCGTGTGTAATCGTTCATCTTTAAAGGGTTTTTTGGCCTTAACCTGTACCATTTATTTAATCATTACTTGTTAGAAATTCTGTGACACAGATACAACAATAAAAGGTATCATTGAGTATATTGGTGGTAGCAATTATGAACACTATTAAATGTACATGGGTTTCTTGCATACTGTACTGATGTATACAGGCTACTAAGAATATGCATGTCAGGTATACTTAGGGTGGATTAAGCTTCAATAGGAAATACACCTCTATTCAGTCATATTTATGCTACAGAGAAGTGATTCCGTGTGAACCAGGGATCTAATGCTATAGTGGGGATGTTCTATATTTATTGATGTCATGTTACAACACTGAAATTAAACAGAACATGTTTCTCTTACTTGGAGGTTGATGTGTATACCATAGCCACATATGTGCACAGTAGATGGTAACTGATAATATGGGAAGTGGACAGATGAGTAAGAAACAGTATAAGATGGTGGTGCACTGGGGAAGGCCAATGTTACTAAATCTCTGCTACCTCAACCACAGGCCTGGCAGAACATCTCTGGCTCTGGTTGAGACTAAGTGGACCTCCTTCAAGCCAGGGATCACCAGCAGATGTTGATCCATAGAGTGTAACACTCTTTGAGGGACGTACGGGGAGAGATGGTCCTGACAGTATTTTGGCCCCAGAACACATAGGGCTTTAAAGGTTAAAACCAATACTTTAACCAGTGCAGCTGGTCTCATATGTGTCCATACAGGACACTCCCAGACTACATCTGGTTGACATGATCAGGATGGACAGGTAGGGGCATGAAGACTTTGTACATGCATAGCCTGTGGTTCAGTGGTTGAGCATTTGATGAGTATGCAGAAGGTCCAAGGTTCAAACCCTGGCATCTCCAGTTGAAAGAATCAGGTAGTAGGTACTGTGAAAGACCTTTACCTGAGATCCTGGAGAGCCACTGCCAATCTACGTAGACCATACTGAGTGTGATGGATCAAGTGTCTGATTCAGTATACGGCAGTTTCATGTATACATGTTCATGTGTGTGTACATATGACTTGTCTTAGTTTAAGGTAAATATGTGCCTAATGTAAAAAAAAAATCACCAACGGTACAGCAACAGATAGTGATTCTGTATCTTTTTTTAGTGATACTGTATCTTTTTGACTGAAAAAAATATAGCAGATCAAATATCTTCATTTTTTCCAGGTTTTACTAATGATTTTAAAGTGTCCTTTCTCACTGTTCTTGTCAGAGCAGTTCAGTTAACAACCCATTATTATGTATTCCTTACTGAGCAGTTAATAGCTTTATAGTCTTTTGCGGGAATACACCTGCTGCTCATAAAAACATTTATATTGTAGTAGATATTTGACTCAGTTGATACATCCTGTATTTGCAGTGACCTTGTACAAATTATACAGATCTTAATAACAGGCTTGAGTTTCTAAATACAATTGCCATGCCTTTCTTCATAGTAAGGTAGACGTTTGAGTATTTTATATCACATTAGTAGTGGTACGTTTATAACAAAGATACTTTCATAAAAACACTCAATTCCATAACTATACAAAAATAGATCTGCACATCTCAGTTCTACACCAGAATGGGATGGTTTATTTCAATGTATATTAAAAGTGAATATGCATAGAAGTATTTTCTAGTAATGACAAATTATTGGAAACTATTCCCGGACAGTTGTGCTTACGAGTTGGATCCAGCCAGATTTTCACTAAATGTCAAACTTGTTTTCTACCTAAGACAGACCCCAACCCACGTGGTTTTCATATATGCAAGTCCCATGATTCTCAGCATAACCTTTTTTTAGTGTTTAACAGGAACCCTTCCTTTTTTTTCTCCCAAGCGGAAAAGGTGGTTGGATCCAACCCAATACATGTACTCACATATACACGTAGTAACTGTTTTCTATACCAAAGTCCTCATGAATTTCATCCAGGAAATCCAGATGTAAGCAATCCATTTTTTGTAGTAGTAGTAGTACCCTTTCATTTTTTTTCTTAAAACTTGTTTATTACAATAGTATTTGCAGTTTGAAATAAATTGCAATGCTAGCTTGTCTAGTGTGGAACAGCAATCAGCTCTTGATGTGCCCAGCAGGAGGAGTGGACAGACTGGAGACTTTGGAAGGGCCTTGCCATTTTCTGGTTGCACTTTAAATCACATGTATTTATTTAGAAAATGTATTTTCCACCTCTCCAGAGACTGGGCTTTTGAGGAATGGACTGTGTTGGAGACCATTTTAGCTGCCTTGAGCCAGTGATTACCCAGAGAGCTGGAGGTGGGAGCAGAAGCTCATCAAAAAAAATTTTGTTTTTTAAAAACAAAAAAGTGTAGTAACATGGAATAGTAACTCCAGCAACAAAAATTAAAAGTGAAAATGGTAGGACCAACAATATGGACATAATTAATTAATAAAAGAATCAGAGTTGTTCATTCATTCATTTACTTACTAACTTACAAAATTTATTCCCCAATTTTCTATGCTCATCAGGGCCACCAAGACAGGGTACAGGGCAGGGTACACACATTGTGCTGGCACAGTAGAGCCTGGCCTTCCAAACAGACCAGGAAACTGACTTTTAGTGATGCGTTTAAGTGGCTTATATTGTATTTTACTGACTTTTTAGGAGCTGCGGTGGCTCAAGTGGTTAAGACGCTGAACTGCAGGCTGTGGAAGGTCAGTAGTTCAGCAGTTCGAGACCCGAGTGTGCCGCATGGCGGAGTGAGCTCCCATCTCTAGTTCCAGCTCCTGCCAACCTAGCAGTTCGAAAGCAAGAAATTGCAAGTAGATAAATAGGTACCACTTCGGTGGGAAGGTAACAGCGTTCCGTGCACCTTGGTGTTTAGTCATGCCGGCCACATGACCACGGAAACATCTTCGGACAGCGCTGGCTCTTCGGCTTTGAAACGGAGAGGAGCACCGCAACCCTAGAGTCGGATTCAACTGCCTTTCGAGCAAGGGAACCTTTACCTTTTTACTGACTTTTTATTGCTATTGTTGTATTTTATCATATTGCAAATGTGACGCAGAGGCAGTCAATGGCAAACCACCTCTGAAACGTCTCTTGCCTTAAAAACAAATCTAGCTCACCACCTAGTGGTGTATAACACTAAAAGATTGTCTGGCAGCCTCCTGGCTATACTACACACACTGCCATACAATAATCAATTAATATTGCAAACAATCTTGGAGACTTTTTCAGTTTAAAGTCAGTCTTTAACTAAAATAAACATTTTCCACTGATTATATATCATGCTTTTCATAACCTGCTCTGATCCTGGGGTTACTTACTCTGACGTGGGGAGGAAGACAACAGGAAACAGAGTGTGCATGTGTATGTTTGTAGATAAAAAGACAAGAAGATGTTCAGTTAAGATGATACTAAGGAAGGGAGAACACAAGGCCATCATTTTTTGTTTTGTTTTGTTGAAAGCCTCAGAGTAAAATAGTACTATCAGATCATTTTTCTAACAAAAAAGAAAAGGCTCAAGGGTAAGATTGTAATAAGATGGCAAATGCTTGATCAGGAGTTTAATTTCTGTGGCAAGGGAGGGAGAGAGGGCAGCAGCAGAACACAATGGCCGCGCGTGTTTTCACATCTCTGTTAAGTGAGTGCAGGGGGCAGATGCCACTGGAACATGATAAATCATATAGGCCTGCCCTTCTGTGGGAAATATGTGAGGCAGCTGCAAGGGAGATTGAGATATTGAGAGAGATCAGCAGAATTCAGTCTTTTTGCACCAAATGCTAGAAGACAGGCTTAGGATCTCACTGTGGATTTATGGATGGAAATTGTGGGGTCTGAATAGAGACCTAGTGCTGTGGAGCCATTCTTAGTTGCAGAAGAGTAATCATCCAGCAGTTTAAAACAGTGAACCAGAAAAATTAAACAGACAAAGCAACAGATTTTTGACAAGTTGCAGTGTGAGCCCACCTAACACGCTGAAAAACAAAACCTTTTAATAGAATTATCCAGCTATATATTAATCTCAAATTAGATTCAGACAACTATTGTCCCCATCATGAAGCTCTGCCACTCATAAAGTTTACCTTGGGAAGATCTGGTGGATGTGCCTGAGGACATCAGTCATTACATAGATTTGTTCAAAGAGCAGGGGTCATTTCCTGCAGGAGCGCACAGGAGCGAAGCTCTGGCAGGAAAGAGGCCAGGGGGCGAGCACATGCAATAAGCCCCACCCCCTGCTCCCAGCAGCCCTCAGTCAGAGCAAGAAGCAGCCAGGTAAATTGCAGAGGCCCCCCGCCCTCCCAGTCCAAAACAGTCCAGTGGCACCTTTAAGACCAAGTTTTATTCAGGTACAAGCTCTCCCTCCTCTGCGAGGACACATCTGCACGTTTCCCCCCCCCCAATAGCTAGCAATCCAAAACAGTCCAGTGGAGCCTGAGCAGTGGGTGTTGCCTTCTGACACACTTCCAGTGATGTCAGGGGGTGTGGCATATGCTAATGAGTTATGCTAATGAGCTCCTGCACTTCTTTTTCTATGAAATGACCCCTGGCAGAGAGGAAGTGGAAATGTCCCTTTCTTTTCGTTTCATGGCTTCATATATTTCTAAGTGGGAATG